GCAACGCCGACATAGAGCCTAACTGTACTGGGAGACTGCAATGCAGAGTTGGCATGTAGCTTTTCGTGGAGACTGCAACGACGCAATGAACTCTAGCTCCTCTACAAACATTTTGATTACTCAACAATGTTGCGTATATTATTCTCAGTCACAGTGTTCTAAAATTGGATTTTGGTTGGGTGTGCCGATGAAGAAAAAAAATCCTAGGATGAGAAAAAAGGAAATGAATAACCGAAGTATATTTGCAAAATGGTGTAATGCCAATTTGTATGCCAACTGCTAAACCAGGATTTCATGTCAGAATCTTGACAGGGTGTAAATCAAAAGGATGTGGGTGCATCAACTGTCAAGTGACATGTACCTAAACTGGCTGTTGGGAATACATGAAACTTTTTTCAGAGATGAAGTAAAGTCGGTCATTTATATTTTAGGGATGAAAGTATTTTCCCCATTAGGTGTGATTTGCCACCAAAAAGTCTGAAAAAATGGAGCACTGTTCTCAGAAGACTGCGACGCCGAGACAGCTCTCAGCTTATCAGCCGAAGCACAAATACCTTTATTTACTTACCCTGAAACACAGCCGAGTAGGTTCTTGTCTCTCGGCATTAATGTTTTCAAAGGCGCTCCGAACTATAGCGTTCCCTTCCGGCTTGCATTTCGTCGATCTGCTGCTGATTGATGCATTGATTGGAACGTTTTTCAGTGAGTTTTTTTTTTGCAATGATAATGATATCCCTACCTTTTATCCCTCTCATATCCCAGTGCATTGAACCATTTCCGGGACAGTTTATGAAGACATATTTACATTTCATGCAATCGAACAAGTAGCACACACTACACCCGACACCACCTGTATCTTCGGGTCACGTCAGGTCATCGCCCAATACGGCACGTGACATCACCCAGCGAGTCATCCGAGTGTTCTCACAACAATGAGGCACATAAAGCTCGCCCTCTGAACGTCTCTCGCAGTTACGACTTGGCGCGGCAGGCTATTTACAGCTCGTTCTCTGCGGCCGAAGCGGCTCGAGCCCCTTTACCACCCTCTCCGGCTCGCAGCCACTTCCCAGAGCACCACTGGCGGCCTATCTCCGCCTCCTCCGCACAGTGGGGCCATCAGACGCCTTGTTTTAGAGCGGCCGGTCACAGTCGCGGCTGTCGTCGGGCGCACGTCCAATGCATCACCATTCACCATAGAGGTGATATCTGCAGCAGCGGTCGTCGCACAACGTATAGCTCAATTAAACGGGCCTTTACTGCGGTGCCGTATAATTTGGAGCGTCGGCGGGTCAGCGCGGTCGGCTGCAGCGTTGAGACAGTGCAACGAGACAGGCGCCGTTACGTGTCGCTGGCCGCTGCAAGACAACAGCGACAATTTAGCAGTGTCGCGCTGCGCCGATTGGAACCGAGGGGTGACCTGGTTAGCGCGCGAGAGCTGCTGTGCACGGGGCAGGTGAGGGACGTGGTAAGTTATGGGAGTCACACATTACACAGTTAGGTGTCCTGATGAACATGCTAGCATTTATCGATGTTAAATTACCTGGCACACGCTTATTGAAAAACATCGCTCGAGCGGTCGGATAAACTTTGCCAAAAGAGTTACATGTTGTTAATTGAACAATTAATTTCATTGGACTAAGATGGCCAAAGTCGAATGAAATTCATCTTAGATTGTAATGCTGTGATTGCTCTGATAAACATGAAGCCGCATAGGCCTAGGAACCAGAGGAGGGGCGGGGAAGGCCACAAGGTGTTTACTAAAAGCCTTAACCTAAGAAAGCGTAAGGTTTGAAACCGCCGTATTTCAAGCAGTGTGATGAAAAGCTTTGTCGCCCCTTCACTTTGCCTCAAGCTAACGAAAAATACGAAGTTATGAAGATGACCAAATCACTGTACACTGAGGGCGCTTCAGTTCGCTGCTGCACACCAGCGAAGCCACTGCCTTTGTTTCTGTACCCACCACCCGCCGCGACAGCCTCCAGCCGTCGGTCCCAACAGACCGCACGCATCAGGCTCGTTCCGCGTTATATTTACGGCTCGGTCTGAACACAATTACAGAGGAGCTCGGCGCGCCGGCTGCCACCGTCTCCAATACTGTAACGAGCGGCCGCTGGACAATCCATCAGAGCAGGCGGCGCGGGGCGACTTTGTGACTCCAGACCTCCGCCGTCGGCCGGTGAGTCACGGTGACCGGCACGCAGCGCCGCGCGCGGAGGTTCCGGTGCGAGTCCGCGGAGACATGACCGAGTGGGAGACGGGAGGGCTGGTTACGGGAAACGGTGGGATAATTGGGAGGTGAGGGGAGGGAGGCTGTGTTGGGACTAGTTGGATATGCTGGGTATAATATTGGTAGCGAACAATTGCAATTAAAACGGCATAAGGAAAGGCTTACGCCAATGTGATTGCAGAATACATAGGTAGGCATATTCACGCATTGGTCCGGGAAAGCTGCCCAAGGGTCAAGAGAACTTGGAGTCGGGGAGATTTTCCCTCGAAAAATATGTTTTTTATGCATTAGCATACATCCATTTAGAAGTGAGACATGAGATCAAGCATCCGACTTCGCGCTCGTTTTCTCTAGATCTCCAGATGCGAAATGGGGCACTACATTTCTCTACACGCGACTTCTCTGAAAGGTGCATCATGTGCTCCGGGGGCTTCCCAGTCGCGTGTAGAGCTGACCCGCCGGAGATCGCGCCGCGAACTCACCGGTTAGATAGGGAGCTCACCATTCCGCGCAGGCGGTGTCAGTGAGAGTGATGGTGTAAAAAGCAGGCTAGTCCAACCAATAGCAACTCCGAGATGTCGTATCAATGATTTGATGTCAGGTTGATGGAAGAAGTCAGAAAGCCTGGAGCCTTAGCAGGTACGAAGTTGACCCCCATTCAGACATAACCACAATTTTTTAGGATAACTGCGGACGCCCATGCATTAAAAGTGCCTGGTGGACTCGCCTCTCCCGTCCCCCGCCTGGGATCGCCACTGCGCGAGGAATGCACGTGCTGCGCTCGTGCTCCCGCCTACATCTGGCGCCGGGTGGTCGTACACCGCTACCACTCCGCCGTTTCTGCGCTCCACGTCCAATCGAAAATGTGACACTGCATTAGTTTGGCACGCAGAGATATAAATCATCCGTAGTCGATACGCTGTGTTCCTCAGGGACAACAGATGCCCGCTCGAGCCATCGGCAGTCAACAGGTGCGTGAGATGGTACGCGGCCTGACCCAGACCGGCATTGACTCTTGGCGGCCTGACCCAGCGACCAGTATCGGTGAACTAGCCACCCTATCTCACACAAGATCCATAACAGGTCCGTATCTTATATTGTGTTGGGTCTGATAGGTCGTGCGACTTGTAAATCGTCTGGCCGCCACATTAGAAGCTCATGAAAGAAAAATAGGGATAAGAGGCGGTTACTGCGCATCGTTTCGTCACCATCCTAAAAAAAGTAGCCAGAGATAAAGATCAGGAAAAGCATCGAAAGGCATCGAACACTTCGGCAGCCTGCTATATCATACCAGTATAACGCCTTTTGGGGCGACTAACGGAGCGAGCGAGAGGGTGACCCTTGCACGTGCGAAATTTCGAGGGGGTACGTACCTCCAGCTGACTTGTGCACGGCACCCTACTAACCGGTCTCTAACGATGTGCCAAATTTGAGCACAATCGGCCCAGCCGTTCTCGAGATCTGGAAGCGGCACCCTGCACGTGCGCACGTGCAAAATGGGTCCCAACTGACTTTTGCACGGCACCCTACTAACCGGTCCCTAACCATGTACCAAATTTGAGCGCCATCGGTCCAGCCGTTCTCGAGATCTGGAATCGACCCCTGCACGTGCGCACGTGCAGCAGCACCCCAACTCTGGCACATGGATGTGCATTGCCTAGTGGGTGCCTACCTACATGCCAACTTTCAGCGCAATCGGCCAAGTAGTTACCGAGATATTGCAATAATTACAAAAGTGACACCTCTTCGTTTTGCACGTGGCACGTGCATAAGGGGTCACCCACATGCATCGGGAATAGTCCAATACTTGGTAGAAGGAATGAAGCTACCCTACAAAAGTTACCGCGTGTAAATCGGTCAAGTGGTTGCTGAGATATAAGTCTCGCAAAAGCGTGACCACGGCCGGCCGGCCGGCCGCTCATACTCAGAAATTTCCGTTATTCTACGTAAGACTCCGCTCGCTTCGCTCGCTCCGTAACAAGCATTACCAGTATAACGCCTTTTGGGGCGACTAACGGAGCGAGCGAGAGGGTGGGCCTTGCACGTGCGAACTTTCGAGGGGGTACCTCCAACTGACTTGTGCACGACACCCTACTAACCGGTCTCTAGCGCTGTGCCAAATTTGAGCACAATCGGCCCAGCCGTTCTCGAGATCTGGAAGCGGCGCCCTGCACGTGCGCACGTGCAAAATGGGTCCCAACTGACTTGTGCACGGCATCCTACTAAATGCTCCGTAACTGTGTACCAAATTTGAGCGCAATCGGTCCAGCCGTTCTCGAGATCTGGAAACGACCCCTGCACGTGCGCACGTGCAGCAGCACCCCAACTCTGGCACATGGATATGCAGTGCCTAGTGGGTGCCTACCTACATGCCAACTTTCAGCGCAATCGGCCAAGTAGTTACCGAGATATTGCAACAATTACAAAACGGACACCTCTTCGTTTTGCACGTGGCACGTGCATAAGGGGTCACCCACATGCATCAGGAATAGTCCAATACTTGGTAGAAGGAATGAAGCTACCCTACAAAAATTATCGCGTGTAAATCGGTCAAGTGGTTGCTGAGATATAAGTCTCGCAAAAGCGTGACCACGGCCGGCCGGCCGGCCGGCCGGCCGCTCATACTCAGAAATTTCCGTTAATCTAAGGAAAGACTACGCTCGCTTCGCTCGCTCCGTAATCAAACACTTCGAAAAAAAGCTTTAACTAAAATACTAGAGGAATGCATACTGTCAAAATAATTCAGCATAACCGAACAATAGAAACGCCACCGTAAAATAAAACCATATATTCTGATCGGACCAGACGACATAAACATAGATTGAAGCCGACTTCAAAATAGACTACGGGACGGCGTTGTTCCGATCTCGACTAATCTGGAATCAGAAGCTCCCCAGAATATAGGTGGCCACAGCACTGTAATATATCTAAGAAAGTATATCTAGACCATCAAAAGCGTGCCTTTTTGCCAAGTTAGCGCACATTCGTACCTTCTTAATAACCAGGGCGGTTGGTGCATCATACTGCGTAATGATGCAGGAGATATGCGGAAAATCTAAGCGAGCCAGCTAGTTTAGTGCGATAAGCTAAATTTGTGGGACAAAAAAAGAACTTTTGGGGTGTGAATACGCTATGCCGTACATTAAAAAAAAATCTACAACAAAACAGCACGTCGATGTTGCACAAACGGCAAGACGGCCGCAGCATTCGGCTGAGACTGACGAACAGCATATACTAGAACACATATACTAGAAGACTACCAACCGCACGCGAGGCATCTACCTTCAGACGCACCGTATGGCAACCACGCAGCACCTCATGAGGCGGTATCCTAGTCGAGATATAGCGCTCTCACTTCTCACAGCTTACAACACTGCCTAACTATTGTAAGGACACTTAACCGTGCCTTGGCGGCTGACCTGAAACGTCTGTTCGTTCAGCCCTCGTGTTGCCTTACAAACTCCTCGAAGTAACTTTAGATCACAATCCACCGCTGTCACCGGCTTAATATATAGTTAGCAATCACACAGATGAATCATACTCATCAGCAAGCTGAGACGCGGGTTAGTATAACATGACGTGGCGTGGCGGTCATGGCCCCATTAAGAGTAAATCGGATCCCGTGAGATTAATTTCTGCGCTTATAGATCGAGCAGAGATTTCCTCTTTCTTCACCTGATCAGCCATCCACCTCGCCCTCCGGTTCGCCCGTTACGAATATTCCTTTTACACTGACCGACCCCTCTGCCAGGGTGGCCGTCACTGTCATGCCCGATAGCACCGGCGGCCCAGCCCAGCAGGTAGGGGGCATCCTCATTCCTCACCCCTCCGTGGTGGACCGCGCCGTTTAGAAGTCTGGGATCGAGTGGTCCATCAGCTTCTGAATCACGCTGGAATGCACACTGTGGGAGACGAACAGAAGGCGTTACAGGGAAGCTAAGTATTTCGTAATTTCCAGTAAACATGAAAAAAAAACACGGCAGAAGTATTTTGAAACTGATGCAATGCATTAGGGACCCAAATTCAATGCATCCTGTTAGCAACCTTTTATTTAACCACCGCGTACAGCGGAGTAACTTCTGACGGCAAGCAAGCAATAACAAAAACTACTACAGTTTAGTGACATATAAAAGCATGTATGGCCTAAACTTTTGAATTCGTTTTAAAAGGGATAAAAGCGCAAGCAATTACCCAACGTTTCGCATTTATTGCTTGCAATAAATGCGAAACGTTGGGTAATTGCTTGCGTTTTTAGCCTTTTTAAAATAAATTCGAAGGTTTAGGCCATACATGCACTTATATGTCACATCTGTCATTTGATAATCCTCTACTACAGTTTAGGTTCAGTGGCGTTTGTTCGTTCGTTCGTTCATTGGGGTTTACGGGCGCGTCGACTGCGGTGGTCATTTTGCGCCCATAACGCTGTACTGGTAAAGCGGATATGTCAACAGAGAACTGACGAACTGAAGAAGACTAGGACTACCTGAGATACGTTATCTATCGAAACACAACTCAATAATCTGGGCAAGAAACCCGTCAAACCTAGAGTATCACAATAACAAAACGTACCCCCACATCCCAATAATCGGTATCTCTCTGCGGCCATCTAGCGCCCCACTTGGCCTTTCTCCCGGCTTTCTCACTGACCGTTTCATCATGTGCTCGAAGATGAAGGAGGGCATGATGGTGATGGTCAGCACGTCCCCGCACTCGTCGATGATGGCCTTGGTCTCCTTGTCCTTCAGCCCGACCACGTTCTGGCCGTTGATCTCCAGGAGGTGGTGCTCAGTTAGAAGGCCTGGCATGGCAGGGTAGGGTAGAGTTAAAAGAGGGGTGGAGAGAGACCCTGGGAGAGAGCGAGCGAGCGCGCGAGAATCGTTTAGTAAACAATTGAGGCATTGAACGAGTGACATAACTAGGAAAAAATAGAATCGAGCGATGAATGCCGAAACTGAGAGGGAGTTTTTGAGGCTGAAGGTGGCAGTTCAGAACAAAATAGCTGTGATGCGCTGTTGTTCTACACACGACATAATCTTAACATTGTTCGCCAGACATTCTTCCTCGGAGATGAGTAACGACCAAATATTTAGCCCTTGACTCTTAAATAACAATGGTCATTTTCATCCTCTGTAACGCCAGAAACTGTATGTCATGACATCACCAACACTGCACGGATGACAAAAAAAAAAAAAACTCCGGCGTGAACTCGCGATCATGATCAGAGGATTTCACCCTATTCCGGGCCGGGCTCGTTTTCAAACCGGAAATGTCGGGACACCGACCTTCCGCAGAAGAAGGTATACGGTCACAACATCGGCACCACACATTTCGGTGGATTTAACTCGAAACAAGAATGGAATAAAGTCCCAGCCTTCCGCTAACTTGTTTCAGAAAAGCTAGTAAATGCGTGGCTTGACATGAGCACGTCAGTCAAAACAACAAGATACACGGGCGTGTCACTCCAAACAGACTTCATGTTGTATGACCCGCGTCTCCAAACACGACACAACTAGGGAACATTGAGCAACTCCCTGACAAAAAGACGTCCAAAAAAGATCGCGCCATCCGGCGTTCGGATTCGGCGGACGGCGGTCGCCGCATAGCTCACGGTTTTTTCACCGAGTGCCGGGGGAACAATGCGCCATTTGCTGCGGCCCGTACCGGGAAAATGCGCCATGACGGGAGCTGCGGCGGTGCCGGGCAGGGTTTACGGCCGGGTAGGGCCGTTTCTGTCAGTCACACCGGCTTCTGAACGGCGCAGGCGCCGCGTTAGCTGTAGCGCGCGGCGGGGATCCGCACAAGTGTGAGTGTCGCGCGCACGATATCACGCATACTTGGGTTTAACATGAGTAACAACCTAGCTAGATGGATATCTAGATACCAGTGAACCGATGTTGTACAACGATTTAAGGAAACGATACATGTCAGCGGGCTTTCCTTCATTCATCAGAAATGACCACCAATGGAATTTTATGGATGTCACCGTCGCAAGCTTCAGAACTGGCAGTCAAGGAATTACCTATCTTCGAGGCACGTGTTCTAGCGTCCGCTCTATGACAGTACTCGGAAAGCATCGCCGCGATTCGGAACGAGCTCATGTTCAAATGTCCAAACGACAAGCGCGGTATGCTAAGATGTTGAAGTTACTAGAAACTTGCTCGCGGTATTTACCAGAAGCATATTCGTAACGTTACAAGCCTTAAATTCGTCCCGGTTTGCGTTTATCTATAAAAAAAGATTCATGATAAGACCCCATTCCCCATGTTCACTCACGTTCCCATAAACCCTCACGCTCAAGGAGCATTGACACCGCCTTGGTGGCAGAGTCCTACCCTCGAACCCTTGAGACATCAGACCCCTCTCAAGACACTCCCCGTCCCACTGCGTACCGTTTCTGGCAGCCGACGAGTCCTTGACGAGTGCCATGATCTTTCCCTCGCGGTACTGGAAGCCCACGGTGCCCATCGAGTCCTTGTGCATGGTGACGGTCCGCTCAAACGGCCGGTCACGCACTGCCACCTGTCGGCCAGAAAAGGAAACACACACGTTAGATATCTGATGTAAATACGACGCCAAGTGAAGGAGACACAAAGGTCTGCGCATTTGATAATATTTAGAGATGATGTGGAAAAACAGGGGAATTAGACACCGAAAAACACAACTTTTATTAGGGCAAGTACCATTATCACCAAATACACAACACTCATACCACTGTGACGTCATTTTCCAACCGCTCTTTGCGCCGCAGACCTCCAAATAGACAACAATCCCGTCAAATGAACTACCATCAGTCACCACCGCGAGGCATTCACAAAGCACTGGACCGAGCTGATCCCCTCGCAGCGGCAGCCCCGTTAAACCGCGCACGGAATGTCTGCGGTGTCTGACAGAGTTCTCTGGACGCAACATGCCACATGGTAAAGCTATACAGGGAATGCCAGGACCAAACAAACAATACCTCGCTTTTAGCTATGTCGTATGTCGTATGTCGTATCGCTTCAATCCGGTGGATTGAAGAGAGGCGAAAAATTAGACAACTTTCCGTACGAAGGTTAGATACAAGTGGCGCTCCGTTTGGAAATTTCGAGAGAAAATAAGACATAATGCAACTGAATGTTCCGAAAGTGCTCGGCATGTTTTTTTTTGTCTGATCATTGTTTTGAAAAAAAATCACAACATTTTTAAAGATATTGGGCCAGAAACTCTGGCGTGTGTTATGCCGACTCGCACTTTTTCCGGTGATCTCGTCCATTATGAAAAACGGGAGTAGCGCCTCCCAGCATTTTCATACCCTACGCCTATCCTCTAATCTGTCGCAGTGTCGCATCCAAACAAGGCATACGTGCTTGAAAGTTGAATCCCAATACATTTCTACTGCATTCATCCACATCCTACCAGCTCAAGCCGACGCTGTTTGGGATATTGCAGCTATGTTAACTCTGACAGATTTCTCGGTGCTCTGAGGAGTGCCGTTCACATCCGAGTCGCGGTCCGTTGGTGCCATGCCGACTGACTATCGCCCGGTGCAACGCTCCCGGATTCAGCCCAGCGGCTGAATGACGCACTTGTCATAGTGAACTCTCAGGCCGGGTTTTTGAAGCATGCAACCGGTATCGATAATTAAAGACCGGAATGCCCATAGTAGAATCCAATGAAGACTTGTCCCCGGATTTCACCCGCCTTGCGAGTATAAATCTTTGGCGGCTTGAAATGCCACCTGTGCATTTCCAACTTCGTCACCATATATAACCTACGGCCCGGAAACAGTTTGAAAAAAGAAAATACATAAATTAAAATAAAGCACCGCCATCTATTTCCAGGGCTAGTCTGTGACACCTAAAACGATATCTGAGATCACCAATACCAGGTCTGGTGGATTAGCGGGCGCGAAAACGGCCAGCCGCTCCGCCAGACTAAAAACTCACGTCTAACTTATTATAATCGGATGTGGAATTTAGTGATTTCATCGGAGCGGTATATAAAGACAAATGTTCCGCCGCGGCTAATCCCAGATAGACCACGTGCCTCTATGTAGCCGCTGTTTTGTCCACATTTTGTAGTTTTTCTCTGAAGATGGCCTTGGAGATGAGAAACACGAAATATGTCTATGTCTTTGGGATCATTTAGTTACTGGTGTTACCTGTAAGCTGGAGTTTAGGGATTGATGGTGCTCTGCCACGACAAAAAACTGTCCGCACCGTGCGCAGTTACCACAAAGTCTCGTCAAAACGAAGGATTCCACAGCCCCCTAAAACCATCTCGGAGGTCCCCAAAACCATGCTCCTCGAGCTGATAAATTTTAGTAGGTACTCAATACCCCGAGAGTTCATAGGCAGATCCAGGGTGGCAGATCTTGGGCAGAGCTGGGCAGAGCCAACGAATTTTACCATCTGCCAGACCCAGTTAAAACGCGGCGGTACCTATGGATCTTGTTCACGTACTAAATAGCTTATCACTGGACCGATCATTTCCAGGACATTAAACTGCACACGTACCTAGTGTACACAACGGAGCCGTACCAGCACGCGTATTTACAAATTGCAACCGAGCTCCGCCGTAGGGTATTTTATTTCCGCCGTAGTTTATTTCACTTGGGGGATTTTCTACCATACATCTGCCTGAGCTTAGGGTAATTACAATTTGTCGGCGACGTTAAAAAATGATGCACCTTTTTTCGCAGTATAGGATATCGCATGTGCATATTTCTGCCTTTTTGGGTGCGCTTTATCGGTTTTTCGTGAGTAACTCGCGTAAAAACCGTCCGATCGCGACGAAACTTTCAATGCCCCCGATTTTATCAATTTTACACCTACCCTGAAAATTTCATGACCCTGACCCAAATGACCTTTGACCTGTGACCTATTTCTCGAGACCATGTTTGACCCGAATCGCGATTCGGCGTATGTCGGCTCGCATTAGCCGCGCGGTTGCAGTTTTCACGTGGTTTCAAGCGTTGAAACATGTGATATGATGCTGGTCCCATGCACTAGGGTGGATGTCGAGGTCACCTGAAGGTCAGGTCAGCTCAATGACCTTTGATGACCTCGGTTCCTTTTTCGAGTTTTACATGTTTCTAGGCTAGTTTTTTTAGCTGATTTCGAATTTAGCAACCATTTGAACATTACAGGGGGTGTAACGAAATTATCCGGACACCTTTCTTCCCGCTGTAATTAAAAAGCAAAACAATCTGGTACTTTTTCTTTTAACTGAGCTTGTAGGCTGTAGCCACCTTTCATAAAAACAGTGATGAATGTTCTGGAGCATTTCAGCCTATGGATTCTCCAGCACACTGGCTGTGATGCGGACCACCGCCGTCTAAACCTGTGCCTGCGGTTGAGCAGTGCTTATGGCGGGTGGCTCTTCATACACCTCCTGCTGAACAAGAGCCCACAGGTTTTCGATTGAATTGGGATCGCGACTTTTTCCAAGTCATAAGCGTTAGCCCAGAATGATTGAAGGTTCCATCGGCATCACTTCCCGTTCTTTTAGGGACTTAGCGCGCCGCCCCGCATGAAGACAGCGTGGCTTGAATCAGGCATCAGTGCGCGTTCAGAAACCGTGCCCTCCTATGCCGTCTGGTTGAGCGCCTCCAATCATGCTCCACCACCTTCCCTGGAAAAGCTCCACCCTTGCCTATTGGGCAAATTGCAAAATATAAGGGACAAAAACACAAAACAAGACAGATAAAAACAAAGCAAAATTAACTCATTACCTAATGAAATTCATGCTTGAGCAAAAACATAGGTAATAGGCCTATCTATGTCAAAATAGAGTGAAAGATTAAAATCAACCTGACCAGGCCTTACGGTCTGACCTGGTCCTAACCAAGGTCCTAACCACCTTACTTCGCCTAACTTAACCCAATTCAACCTGCCTACCACAACACCTGCAGAGGTACCTTCCTGGAAAAATGACGCCCAGGGAGGTGACTGTCCAACTTATTGGAATACTACCATGATTGCTTGTCAAAATGTGTGTCATCATGCTCTTGTTTGACAAGTGATGTATAATAAATGTGATATTCAATAATTATCTCCTGACTGCTGACTGTTAAGTGATAAAAATATTCAAATAATCAGGGTACAATGCTGTGCATAGTGCACACTAATCATGTTGTTTTTGTGTAGGCCCTCTGCACATTGTTGTGTGCACTGCTATGTGCACCTTAAGTAAGAAAGTGACTGGTGGTACATGACAAAAGGTTGTGCAACTGTGAAGTTCATGCCCTTGGTCAAGGTGGTGCCAAATGCCTATAGCTATAGTATAGCAGGATCACTGATCAGTGAGGGTTGTAGACATGCTAGCTACATACATTGTGCATTGAAGATATTGGCACAAAGTTCATCCGTAATTACTATGCTTAACACCTAATGTAAGAAGCGACATAAATGCCCAGATGATAAAACTCTCTGGTCAACATCACACAAATTTATTGACAAACTTTGCAGGTACATATTTACATTCATGGCAAAATATACTTTCCATTTGATTCAGAAACTAGTTGCTAGTAAGCTTGCATTTTTGTAGGTACAACAACGACCATATATTGAATAATAAAAAACCTCATGGCATTCATCACATACCTTTTTACCGAACAAGTACCTAGCTACCATGCAATGATTCTAAAAATTTCCGCAATCCATCTATATCTCAACTGACACAATGAATTTGAAACACCCTAACAAAACCTATAACTGTACATAAAAAGAATGCAATACTACAAGAACTATGAATTTCTGAAGTTATTCTCACATGCTGGAATGTTGAAACTCTACTTTTGTCGTCCATTTCCACGGTTGATTGAGCCATCATATCGAACTGTTTTCGTTCTTCAGTCACAAGCATTCGCACAAATCTTGAATTTTTACACATCATCTTGAACCATGCTCCAGTCTTTCCAACAAGGTACTATGTAACATCAAAGCAATTTTGATTTGTTACAACAGCTTCAGATCATGATAGGCTTGAGGTTTGTTACACCATTTGCCAGACAAATCTCTACAAAATGTGTATCAATTCCCAAACTAAGTAATTGATCATATCAGTATTTGCAGTTTCCACACAATGTTTCATAATACTATTCTATGTTTATATAAAGAAACTCAAATAATCCACAAATTGTTATTGAAACACTCCCACACTTCAAGAACTCACAGCAATAACAGTACATACAAGTTCAGAAGCAAACAAACATTGCGCCAGATTTCGTATGAAACGCGCCATCGTCCTGAAGTTTCTACCACAGACGGTAGTTCAACCGCAGCCGTAGTGCGAAAACCCCTGCCCACCCCTGCCCACCTTACCCCACGGCGGAGCTCGGTTGCAATTTGTAAATACGCTACCAGCACCCCATGAAATCAAGAGTGAGTTTGAGGCTCTAAAGGATACCAGACTTCAATTCTAATTCAAAGATACTAATAAACCCATACTGCTTTAATTGATTTCTAGCTTTCCAGACAGTCAAGCTGCTACTGCCCCACAAACTAACTAGGTACCCACAAATTCGTAAGTTGAACGCA